CTCTTGACATTTGCCTACTTGTGCCATGCTTGATATGCTTCAGGTTTCCCCCTTGGCAGTATGGTTCATGCCTATGTGGAAGAGCAGCATGGCATAATAGCCTGTGAGCTGGACAAGTGTCAGCAGTCTATCCACAGTCTCCCAGATCAAAGCGTCTCGCAAGCAGCAATCCTCCCTAGATGGCAGGATAGGTCAACATATAGGGGTCTCTGTGCCCCACAGGAACTACTATCCCACTATCATCACTTCCCACTTTCTTCTGTTGCTTCTACATGGCTTAGTAGAGATTCAACAACTCTACTACTTCATTGGACAGCACTTCCAGCTCCTCATCTGCTATCAGTGCACTGAAATCAATCTATAGATGGAGATCTGCAGGTGGAGAAGGCACCTTTCTCCTGTTGCCAGAAGTCACAAGCTTCCAGTCTTTGCTGTCATAGGAGTCTCCATTTCCCAATCCAAAAACCACGGACTCTAGTTATGTTTCTTTCAATACAATTGGTTGTTCAGACTTTCGTACCTTCAGGGTCTTGGAGAAGATCCATTCTTGGAAAGGACTCTTGTACCTTCAGGATCTTGGAAAGAGATCCATAGCCTCTTTCTTGACACTTCTGATGCTACAAAGTCTGCTGACCAACTCCTGCAGTACCTGTACTTGGTGACAGTAGTGCACTTGCTGACTGCACACCTCCTACTGGCAAAGGACACTATGTCTCTTTGTCACAGTTTCAGTGAGAGGCCCTAAGAATTCTCTGAATCCTAATGCTTACAGAGCTGTATCATTCCATTGGGATCTTGATCTGAGTCAACTAGAGTAAGGAAATAGATGTGTTGTGTGAAAGAACCACTGATCTCACATTGCTTACCTTTTTTCAGCCTGGGCTATAAGCACTCATCCTCTTGGGTCATCTAAGTATACAGTATCCATGTCCTCTTTGGAGTTAGTCTGGTATCAAATTTTGGATGATAGAATATGGTCTACTGTATTGTAAATTCTCTGCAGGAATGATTTTTCTGGAGGCTTATATGTCTGCATTAGTACAGCCAGTTCATTCAGATAACATGCCAGGAATCAAAAGACTACTTGGCTTCCCTGTGTCAGTTAAGCAACTGTTCTGCTGGCATCAAGTGTTCAAGAGAGCAAAGGCTCTAAGTTAACAATAAGGTAGTTTCCATATGCAGCTGGGTTAATTTGCAGCCTCATCAGTGTGCTGTGGCATGTACTCAAATGAAGATTACCACTATGCAGATACCTAAGGTAAGCTCTGTGGACAAGTTTTACATATATACACATATTATATATATATTACATATTGCATATAGTATATTTTATGTGTATTATTCATATATATATGGATTTAAGTTCATAATGCATATTTAATATATAATATGGATTTAAGAAAAACAGAGTATTGAGTATGGGTGTTCTAGAGAAGTAGGTGATATCTTTAGCACTTAACTAGACTGACCAATGCACTGAGGACAAACAGAAGAATGTAACTGTTAGATAGTGGGAACAGTAACAAATCCGAGAACACTTTTCTTTTTCCTGCAGTGATTAATGAAATAAAAATAAGTAAATAAATAAATATTACCTCATGAATTCCAAAGTGAGCATAGGAGTCAAAATAATAATCCCTGGATGTCATCTCCTCTGGATTGAGAAGTTTTGCCATCTTGCCTCGGCCTGGGCAGCTTGGTTGCAATGGGACATGTATGACAGATTGCACTGGCTTTGGAACAACAATGGGCTGAGGAGGCTGGGATGGGACAGGGCAAGCCTAGGAAAACATGTAATATTGTTAAAAGGAATCATTAAAACATAACGTTTCTGTGTATACCTAACCATTGGCTCTGACATATTACTGTAATTAGCTATGAGATGATAACTTAGAGGACACGTGTGTTATCATAAGTGGAAGTTATTGAAATGACTGCATTCTCTTCCCAGATCTTTAACATATTTACTTTGTTTTGGCAAATTTCCTTAGTGGTTTTTTGCTTGGTGCCCTCCTGCATCTATTTATGGCAGTGCAAAGTAATTGCAAAATATTGATATTTGCTGATTCTAACCACGCACAAAGCAGTTAAAAGCTGAGCTTTCTCCTATAATGGCATTTTCTGTCAAATTGTCACAACTTTATGGGACACAACTTGTAATAGTTCCCCAAAAAGAAGAACTGATAATCAAAGGATTTTAAGTATTGCTGACCTGAAAGAGGACTCTTAGTATGCTCTCAAAGAAGTCCCTTGTGCTCTTTGTAGTCCCTCAGCATGCACAGAAAATGCTGTGAGGAGCTGCGTGAGATATATTATCCTTACTTTAGTTTCCTATTATTGGAAATGTAGGATTCTGGTACTACCAATACCTTCCTGCCCTACCACACTTCAATTTTCCCTGGTATTATGTTTCCAACAACAAAACTTCAATAGAACAATAGAAACATACAACATCTCCCTGGCTTGGATTTGACACCTATAAGGCGGAAGACAGAATGCTTCCCCAAAAAAAATAAATAGTGGGAAAGAGATGCAGAACATAGAAGGGCCCATAGTGTATCTGATAATAAAACAAAGTGCTGAAAGCTGAGAAAGGCTGAATGAAACACCACAGCTTCACATGGTCACCTGCAAACTGTGGGTCAAAAAATTCTTGAACTGAGAAAATGGACCCTGCTTAAACTGTGTCATACTTCTTCCAATCTTCTCTTGCTCCAAATTCAGTATTTTTCCAGTAGGGACCTGAATTTTCTCAGCCTCTCCTAGATAGTTTTACAAAGTTTGCATTATTTTCTCTAGATACTGTAAGAAATCAATCCCTTGTAGGCTTTCTGAATAGCATCAATTAACCTAATTACTTTAATATTTTTTATATCACTTTAACCTTTTCTTCTCTTGCTCATTTGAGATTTAAAGGTGTCATCTTTCAAGTATTTCTTTGGTCCATGAATACTAGGGGTTTACATTCATGTAACATGTTTCATCAAAAAAGATCAATAGAAGTGCTTTAATTATAGGTCTTCCCTATTTCTTGCTTTTTTGACTCTGTCATAACACTCTGTTCACCTCACAGCCAGAATACCTATTCTCAGTTGGTATTTTTGTTCTGCCTGGTTTTGAAGTCATTTCTCTTAGGATATTAAATCATTGTCAAATACTGCTCATTCTGTAAAGGTGTTGCTTGTGATGTTCAATTCTTCTCATCCCAAATTCATCTTGATACTTTAATTATATACTTGAGGTTATACCCTAACTAACATCTTTTTCCATTTGGTGTACACACTATCATTTTTTTCCATTTATACTGCCCTCCAGTCCTTTCTGTATCCTCTGCTTATTTAAACTGTGGATGTTCAAAATTGTGTTTCCATTTAATACAAACTCTGTAAGGATTTAGGCTTTTCTCCTAAAGCACGTCCTTCATCTTCCAGATCATTTTACAGGCAATATATATATAAAAATATATATATATATGTGTGTGTGCGTGTGTGTGTGTGTATATAAAACATTCATGGAATTTTCCATTCTGTTCCTCTCTTAGCTAATAAGGTTTCCAGATAGAATATAATAAAACACAGGCAGTTGCAAAAGAGCTATCTACACTACTGGAGAAACAATCTGTCAGTTTTTGTAAATTACGCTAAGGAGTATTAGCGTCTCTAATACTGTCAAACTGCAAACTCAGATGATTTTTTTTCTACAATAGAAAGGATTTTCCACAGGAAAATGAACTCAAATTGAAGATGAATATTCTTACTGAATCTCAGGCCGTATCTGTTCTGTTCCCAGATGAGTAGAGCTTGCCTAGATAGGGTTGTGAGAACTGGATTTATTCTGACCAAAGATACAAAATGAAACATAATTCATCAATTCTGGCTAAGTAAGAATGAAAAATTGATTTTTTTCTGTTGTAAAGGAACTAACATTGTCATCTCATGGTGTGCAAGACAGCCATACTTTTCTTTAGAGGCTGCAGCAGGTTTTTGGCTGATTCTGCTACAGCCAAGGAGTGGCAAGAAAACTTTTATTATCAATGAGACAGTATTAGAGCTTCAGCTCAAGTTTATCTGCAGTGCCTGGAGCCTTACTGCTCTCAATAGTCCACCTACTTCTCTGCCAGAGGATGGATATCCCACGTAGTGAAAAAAGCAGGCAGCTATCAGGTCTGCTTCTCACTTGTCTCTTGCCACCCAGAATTCTGTAGTAAAATGTGTTTGTGGTGGTTGTGTGAAATGGAGCACCTCTGACTCATGCGCTGTCCATCTGCTGTGTGCTTATTCAGAGGAGGACATAAAACTGGGAAACTCAGAAAACTGGGTGGGAAGACCTTCTCAGTCAGTAGCACATGTCATGGAAACTTTAAATCAACTTCTTCAGTGAAGTTCTGCTCTAGGCATTTCAAAAATGGGCAGGCATTTCTAATTTGAATAATGCAATTTCGCACACTTGTAATTGACACCAATTATATTCACTTTAATTTTGAAAATGTAGGACAAGATAACCATTACAGAAATAGTTTTGTAAGTGGGGCTCAGGAAATCAGTGGATCCTTCCAAAGTTTGCTATGACACTGTAAACAATTTCGATTGAGAGTAACTCATGGCCTATGAAGGCTAACATCATGCAAGAACACCTGTGCTTGCTGAGATAGAAAGGACTAAACTTTTAAGAATACAGCTTGAAGAGAAAACATGCCTCTAGAGAAAAGCCATTCAGGAAAGACAGTTTCCAGAATCTCTTCAGCAGAAAAGTATCCCTGATATGACTTACTAGTTTAGTACATATATATGTTCTGTCAAAAATGGTTAATTTAATAACTCCTCAAAAGAGAAGGTACCAGGACTGGCAGTAAACCTCACATCAAACCATCTAAATTAACCAGTTATCAAATATGGGTTCCAGTAGGCTGCACACAAATCCAGAACACTGACCATTGTTGATGCTGAAGTTTGAAAGAATGCAAGCAGTTGCCTCAGAAACTATTATTCACTGTGCTTAATAAGCATCCCTGCAGTTTTCCATCCTCCCCTTTCCTACTGCAAACTGAGCTGGAGGATCTGCAGGACCTGGGAACAGCCTTTTCCACTACTATTATGGGATTTAGACCCTGGTGTTGTGTGTCATTTCAACATCTAAGTTAGATGGAAATTAGGCTATCTAGAAATACAGTTCCTGTTGCCGTTCGCTGTCTCTGGCCACGCGGTCTCCGGACTCAGCTCTCGGCAACGTAACGTGTTCACCCGGAGGTCGGGCTCTCCGGGGCCATCCTACCCTGCTAGGGGACAAACCACGTAACACCAATATGGTTGGAGTGCCGTTTATTGTTTACTGCTCACTACAGTTATACTCCTTGTGAATGCGGAAGCTTGCTCTGCCACCAGTTAGCAACAATGTTACCTTATATGGCCATGTACTGATTCTTCAGAGTAAGACAGCTGACTCGCCTTAATCTCTGCTGACCCTTTGCTTTCCGTAACATCGTGAGATCTTCCGAGCGCCAGGTCCTAAGCCTAAGTTTGGCCAAGTCAGCTTATGTCAAGCACGAAGCCGTATTGCTATATCTATATATCCGTCCACAAGTTCCCATAATGCAGAAGAGAACTGGGTATTCAAGAATTGCAGGCTATTTCGAAAATGTGATGTTTTAAGGATATCCATCTGCCTACAGAGAAGCAAGATGAGTTTGGCACCTTTTTTGAAAGATTTGTGACAAAAACTGAAGCATTCAGTGTAAAAATAAACTTAAATTTCAATGTCAGTTCCTTGACATTGCAGTAGAGCCACAAGACCGGAGATGAAAATTAAGTCCAGATAAAATTGTTGTTCGAGCTGCAGTGGTTTCTCCTTATCAAGTTCTTATTTATTTATGATATTTTTATGGGCATAGAGGAGATTAAAAATAACTTCTGCCTGGAAAGTCCTACCCTTTCATTAAGAAACTCAGATTGCAGATGGTGTTATGGTTTAATTAGAATCATTTTCAGCATTCACTTAAAAAAATCCTTTATAGCATCTGAATGTTAAAAGCAATTATTTCTTGGGTCAGATAGATAAATTATCATGTCACACTAATAGAATTGAGTATGCCTAGTACTATTTTCATCAGTTTGAACTTAATAATATGCATCCTTAGCATTTAAAAGATTATCATTTGATATGCAATTGCCATAGCAGCTCCAACAATACAGCCTCTTTCTTCTGCAGGAATAAGAGCATAGCCAAATAAGGTAGGCATTTTGTACCCTTTTGCCAAATGTGAGTCTTATCTTTATAACAATTCTTGGGAGTCACTATCCAAGTGCACATGTTAAAACATTCCATAGTTCTTTTGTCTTATAGACTTTTGGAATAAGTCTTGCCATACATTTATTAAAATGTATCTTGAATGATCTTTGGGTTAAGGATGGAATCTGGTCCATTAACTAACCAAAGGAAATCTTGATCTATTTTCTGAGAAAATTAAGTTGAGCTTGTCCACACCAATTTGAAGGAACAGGGGAAATTTCAAGTACATTTGTATTCCTACATGTTTATTGAAAAGCAGAAAATAGGCAGAAGGAAGCCCAAATTAATGATGCATTAAAAGTAAAGCACACATTTCATTTGTTATTCTACTTGATAGCAGCTAATTGAGCTAACTAATATATGTTACATGTGTGTAGTCTCCAGACTAACCGTACAATGTGATTAATAATGAAGATGTAGTAGGAAATCTAGGCAGAGCTCAGAACTGATCTGGAAGATGAGGGAATAAAATGCACACAGATGCTGGAAGCAAATC